TAATCAAACATTCCTTTATATTTAGATTTGACCGGTGTATTTGATTTGCGATTTCCGGTCCGTACTGGTTCACATAATATTTTTTTAGATTTTTGCGAAGATTTGACATTTTAAAATAGAACTATCTTTTCGGATGTTTTCGCGGATTTATATAGATTTTTGTTTCCCGAAGTTTCGAATGTTTTAAGTTTATACGAGGGAGACGTTTAACTTTATATGTTTGATAATAATCTATACATATTATGATATTAGATATAGGTAATGTACCTTTATGTAACTAACTAGCGGCTCACCCTCGCTTCGCTCGGGTTCACCTCTAGAAAAGCACAAACAGATCTATCCCACGGGAACCGTTCATTTTTCCGGGATGAAAAGTAACCTGTTGTTTGACCGGCAATATAAGGTATCAGCATGCCAAATTTTACTAAATTAGGTGCGTAAGTTGTTGTGTACTAAGCTATATAAGTTACTACAGTTTTATAACTATCACACGGAAACTCTTTAATTTTCTGGAATGAAAATTATCTTAGATGTTGACCAGGGATATAAAGCACTACCATATAAAATTTCATTTAAATCGGTTCAATAGTTTCGGAGATTAGCCCGTACAAACAGACAGACAGACAGAGAAACAAAAAAAATGAAAAAAACTGGATTTGTTCTATTTCTCTTCTCCCGGGATGTAAGAAGAGAACTGACTCGGTTTTTAGGCATTTTTTTCTAACCTCTACAGTTTTATTATATGTATAGATAGAATAAATAACGTATAATAAAACAGTAATATATAATAATGAAAATAGTTATAGCCAGTGTACCTTAGGAGATAGACATATATTATGTAGAACTTTTCTATAGACCTTTTTAAGACTTACAATTTTCTTGCACAATGTTTTGATCTATCTCTTAAGGTTGAGCCAACGTTAGCCATATAAATTTCTAAGGACGATTCGATAGAACCAGTTATTGTGTTTTCCCGTGGGAATGAATAATTTGCCTGCCGGAAAAGGTATCCTAAATGTTGACCCGATTACTAAGTTTTATCACTATACAAAATTTAGTTAAAATCGATTGAGTACTTTTTGTGTGAAACGCTCACATCGATTTGACTAAGTTTTATTATAGGTATAGATAAGAATAAATATTGCGAGTGTAACTTAGGAGATAGACATATATACAATTCAGAAGTTTTCTGTAGGACTTTTCAAGACCTACAATTTTTTAGTATATTGTTTTGATGTATGTATGTCTTAAGACTTAGCCAGCGGAAGGTTTCTAGGGAGGACTCGATAAAACCAGTTATCGTATTTTCCCGTGAGATAGAAAGATTTTCTTGAAGTAAAAGGTATCTAGGCAGTGGTATCCCAGTGGTAACGCGTTCGCTTGGGAAACCGAGTGAAGCAAGTAGTTCAACGCCCGGGTCTCGCACCTCTGATATTTTCATGTGCGAATCATTTCTAACACAATTACCATTTGTCTTAACGGTGAAGGAAAACCTGTATGTCTGACAGAACCTAGCAAGCTTTCGAAAGACATGTGAAGTCCACCAACCCGCAGGAAATCACAATAACTGGTCGGCCGAGTTGTCATTCATACAAACGTTTCAATGATATATTACAGAAAAACTAACGTAATTCACAATTTAGTCCAGTAAAATCTTTTAATTTGTTTGAGCGCAAGTCGCTCATCTACATCTACCTATATACATAGTATAATATAAAGTCGCTGACTGTTTGTTTGTTTTTCCGCTTACTAAAAGTAAGCGGAAGTAAGCGAATCCATTGCGTGGTTTTGAAATCACGCAAAATATTTTGATACAGTTTCAACCAATAGAAGGAGGTATACCTCATTCTATTAGTGAAAACTGTGAGTACAGACTATTACAGACAGTACTGTGAGAACAGTGTGAGTGAGGAAGGTTTGTATAGATAATTCGTAAATATTTTGTACAAAATGGCTGAGCAAAACACCAAAAGCACCGTCAGATATTTTGTCTGAAAAATTGTTTCCGTCTGATGTCACTGCGACCAATCTAGGTCTATTGTAATAGCGGCATTTTGTACTAGAACCCTGCAGATGTGATAGGTAACTGCAGGATATTCTTAGGGTTACAATTCATTATTTCATCTGGGCCTGGAAATTGTTTTCCTAGATGAATACTGCATTTCCGCATGAGCGGTCCACATTCCCATAGAAGGCTTCCCATTTTCTGCAGGTTTGTGTTTTACTCAGCCCCAAATTAAACAGCAGTGACCAGTAAAGGTCCTTTACCTGTATGCGTACAGTTTTCGTGTTTAGCGCCAGCATGAGGTTGTTAAAACTTTTGTCGTAAGCTGTAATTAATGTCTTGGAATGAATCATTCCATTTAATTCAGTCCAAACCTTATTTGCAGTCTTGAGACACGGTGTCATTAGGGTTCTGTGAGATACAAATATTGCTAACATTGGCTAGAACTTTAGAGGTAAATCAAAACATATTGTACTAAAAAAATACGAAAAGACCGCGATATCATGTGTTTATCTTATCTCCTTAGGTACGATCACAATATCTATTTAAAACTTACTTAGGAACGCACCGGAGTGAAGCGAGGGTAAGTCGCTACTATTCTAATAAATATGTCCTTAATAATGAAGATAAACACAGCATGTTAATTAAGTATATTAAAATATTTACATTATGATGAACCTTAGTCTGTTCTTGGCATTTGGAAAAATATGTTAGATAGACATTTTAAGCATTTTCAAATAATAATAATATTGTAATTGATGTTCTCCTAGCCGATTCCGGCTACGGCGGCCAATCTCATTGAGATTAGCCAACTGCGCAGGAGATATTATAGTGCTCAAGTGTACGCGCAGACACAGGTGCACTCTCTATTCCTGTCACTCTCATACTCCGGTGGGACGACTGCTCGACACGACCGGTGAGAGTTAAGGCGCAGGACCGACAGCTTTACGTGCTCTCTGAGGCACGGTGGTGAAACACCGCCAACTTCCCAACTCCGGGCTGTTACTGAGACTTACTATAAAGAAAGACTCGATAACTAAACTTGGCCCGACCCGGGACTCGAACCCAGGACCTCCGGGTGTGCAGCCGTACATGCTAGCCACTACACCACCGAGGCAGTGATATTGTAGATACATAATATATCTATGTTATATGTATTAGATTATAATTATATCAAATATTTTTTAAAGTTTAATATATAATTTATCTGTAATATTTAAATGTGAATACGCAGTATCCACTTATTTCAGGTACGTTTATCACAAGAAAACACTTGATACTAAATTTTTGACGTATCAAGGTAGGTATTTAGGTACTACTTATCAAATGTAAAAGAATGGAATTGTATACCGCTGTCATCGTAGGTACCTACATAAAACACGACGTCGTTAATAATGTAAATTGTTAATATGCATTTTGTAGCTATTATATTTAAGACAATAAAGATTTTCTACAAAAGGCTGTATAACATTTTAGTTAGATGGATATATTGCATACTGTACTTTGTATTTGTTATTCCTTCGATTAACATTTTTACCCTCCTTAACTTATGTATTGTAGTTGTAGTGGACTCGATACGATCATCCAGTTACTTTATGGGATTTATAAATTTTATAATACACATTGTTTGACTAGCGATATAAGGTATCAGCATGCCAAATTTTACTAAATTATGTACATAAGTTGTTGTGTACTAAGCTGTATAAGTTAATATAGTTTTTTAACTATCCCACGAACTCTTTAATTTTCCGGGATGAAAAGTATCTAAAATAATGACCGGGGATATAAGGTACCACCATGCAAAATTTCATTTAAATCGGTCTAACAGTTTCGGAGATTAGCCCGTACAAACAGACAGCCAAAAAATTCAAAACTGGATTTGTTCTATTTCTCTTCTTACATCCCTCTGACTCGGTTTTTAGCATTTTATTCTATGTACAGGCATTCGACCTCTACAGTTTTATTATATTATCAATTATGTATAGATGAATAAATATAGATATATGCCTACGCTACAAAATCACCTATGCCTACGTTAACGCAGCGAGGTGGCGTGATGTATGACTAATATGTAGATACATTAGCGCAACTGGCAACTTCACACTTGACTGGTAGTGCATACCTATAGAACTGTTTTTGTTTGTAATAAATATGCATATGGCTATGAATGTTTTAATAAAGATCTATTTATTTTAGAATTTGGAGGTGACTAGGAATGAACTAATAAAGTTCAACACTTGTATATTGTACATACGTATACGCCATACGGTGTATAATAAATAACTTTATCACAGATATATCTATACATATAATAAAATTGTAACTAAGCCGAATCTGTACATTAGAATTTTTTTGGAAAATCTTATTGAAATAAATATTATTATCGATACCTACAGACGCCGAATCTATAGTTTTTAGATTTTTTGTCTGTCTATCTGTTTGTTACCTCATTACAGAAAAACCACTAAAGGGATTTTGATGAAATTTGGTATGATGATAGTTGGTTATCCGGGTCAACATATAGGATACTTTTTACCGCGAGAAATTATCTCATTTTTGAGAAAAAGTACAAAAACTGCATTGCAAGAGTATACTAATAAGTAAAACCTAAGAATTTAGTTTTTGGTCATCTGAACGCGGGCGGAGCCGCGGGCTATGCTTATAAATACTATGCTAGTTTTTATATAAATTATAACTTATTTATGCCGTAGACAAAAAACAAAGATAACAATTAAGCATTGCTCATTTCTCTATCATTAACATATTTGTAACTCAGAATAAATGCTAAGGCTACGAATGTGTGAAGCAACCAATCCTTCGGTATAATTTATGTAGCAACCACAATATGGAAGTACTCTTGTCACTTCTCATTGTTTGCAGTGGACTAATTTTGTAATCCTTGGCCGACGAATCTTGCTTCTACGCATTTCCATAATATTTTATTGACATCAAAACAAGTTTTGCAAATAATCTTTGCAGTGACTTCTAAAAAAAAATGTTGGTGAAAACGAAACAGAGAATTCAAACGATATTGAGCTCAGTGCAGGGGCGCGAGCGCGACGAGAGTGCCAGACGCGGCGGCGGCGGCCTCGTGCGCCGACTAGACCGTTCGGCGCCTGCGCTCACAAAGGGCTCATTGTATTCCTCGCCGGCCAATTCTAAAGAAGGGTGCCTGAGCTTTTTTTCTTAAATTCTTGATACCAGAATGACATCGAACAATGGGTTTCCGTCCTTTTATTGGCACCTTATTTTTTGTGAACACTTAAATGGACCTGACTAAGTTCCAACAAAATCACAACCTGTTGCGGCAGTGGTTTAGATGTTGTATTATACGAGTATTTAACGCAATCCATTCAAGAAAGATCATTATAATTCAATATATTATTAGCAATTAAAATGAGTATTAACATCTAAATTAACTCATAAATACAACTATGTGATACCTATATGTGGTAGAGTTCATAAAGGTTGATAATTGATATCATATTTAATAATATCTGAAAATATAGGACCAACTTAATAATATTATTAGAGCTGTATTTATTAGGTTATCACGAAATGGGAATAATAATTTGGAACCCAACAATTTGTGTTTGTGCTTCAATTAGAACATCTTTATACAATTGGTACAAATACAGATTTTAATGATTATCTAATATTATATTTTGTCTATTTATTAAGTTATCATGTGTTTAATTCAATCATATATTTTTTTAGTTTTTGTTAATAATTTATTATAAAATGGATTATAAGTAATTCAAGAAATATAGATTTTTGTGTATTCATTGATTAGTTTAGGTTTATTCTTGTTAGATTATCTAAACAAAAGTTATCCGATGAAGTATTGTTAGATAAACTCGCAAATAATGGAATTTTCGTTTCCTCCAGTCAGGCATAAATAGGGAAGATGTGGCGGTCTACGCGCTTGGCCTTGTGAAATTTGGATATTATACTGTATTGGTATGTGTCTTGAGTCTTGACAAGCAAGTTCCGTGTGTTAGGCGCGGCAGGCAGCATGGCGGGCGGCAGACGCCCACGGCCGGGCGCGGCAAAACAGGTTTCCTCTCACCGTTGCCGCGCGCTGACCCAAACTCAACAAAATCTAATACGAATTACTGCGACGCCGCTTAGACTGATTCACATGTATGTTTCTTTATTTATGGTAAAATATCATAAATTTTATGTGTTATAATATAAGCAGTGAGGAATGACAATGAATAACTGATAATATCATATGTGTTACGAACGATTCTTTATAGGACACGATAATTATGCAATTTGTAGTGCAATTGGAATTTTCCCACGTTATCAAGCAACGTGCGCGTTACAGTTTGACTGGAGAGATATTTGTATGATGTCTACGTAGCGTAATGCTATCTACATCCGCTTGGGGCGGTGAGGCGGTGAAGTGATTTGTCACTTGTCCAATGACACTGCTACTGCGTTATTCATTTTATTTTCACATAAAAATAGCATTGCTCACATTCCTCTATTCTATTCAAAATCGATTAGATAAGATAAAATACATGGCGAAGGACAATGGTAAAAACAATCGACGTTTTAATCTATCTCTTAATATACGTGCCTACATCATCACGTAGAATAATTTACACATACCGTTAAAGTAATAGATTCGCCGAGCAGAGGTGAAACTCAAATAGAATGTATCATAAATAAACGGCCATGGTCCGCTGGCTAGGCGCCACCGGGCGCCCGCGCACCGTTGCACAACTGCAATTCAACATAACACGGTTTAGTAGTACCTGCCTACATTATTGGAGGCCACAGAATACAAAATGACTACCTTCCCACGTATAATTTTTTTGATGATTCATAAACAGCACATTGACGTACATACAATAATCAAATTTTAGTTTTATTGAAAGTAGTAGTTATGTAATAAAGAACTGATTTAACTCGTTAACTTGTGTACTCTACGTTACTATCGCACTTTACACGTTTGTAAGCCAATGTTTTATGAATGAATCCAGATTCAGTGAAAGTGCAATTGGTATGTAAAATTTTCCTATTGGCTGGACCAGTTCCTACCTAGTTCCTGCCAACGATACTAATATATGCAATGAATGAACACTGTCCCTGTATCGATAATAATGACTATTTCAATAAGATTTTCCAAAAAATATGTTATTTACAGATTCAATACAACAGATTTAAATATTAAATATTCTATAAATTTAAATGCTATAAAATACCATATTTAAAATTAAAAACTTGAAGATCAACGAATGAATTTTTAATTTTATAATTTATCTTATTTTTTTGGTGAACAGTGTTAAATTTTAACTAAGCTTGCATTTAGATAATATCAAAAACGTTTTATAAACTAAACGTTATATTTCTGTATAAATAAGTCATGTAAAAGTTGCAGAGGTGCACCGTGCAATATGTTTCGCAATATTTAATTTTATTTCAACATAAAAAAAGAAAAAGTGTTATCAATATCAATATAATATATAAAATATAATTGACACCAGGTAGCTAAGTTTTAGTCGTTTAAATTATTCGTATGGCATAACTTTGTCAACGCGCAAACCAGCACGTAGGCGCCTACGTCCTCAGTTCGCAGAGATATGAAATCAGCGATACCGATACTGCAAATACGCATAACTCGCGCTTAACATTATTTGTGTAAGTAACTGACTGTCTATATTGTTTATTCATGAAACGTACTCACACGAGCGATCAACGAACTGAGTGATATAACAGAACAGTATTGACGCACACACGATCAATTTAATCGCGTTTGTGTTAAAATGCGTTTCAAGTGTGTCATTCTTAGCGCTTGCACTTTATTGCCGTATTTTGCTTGAAGCAAATTTCCAATAGAATAAATAAATAAGCAATGCACAGTGATCATATTAGATTGTTCGAAAAGTTTCTATTTATTTACTTGGGTATTTGTAACGAGTAATATAGGTTATAGCTCTACCTATAATGCTATCTTTAGAGGTGATGCAATAGTGCAGTCCTACTTGCTAATATTTGCTGATGAATATTTAAATATGCTATTATATTTTTATTTCGTGTTTATTACAAACGTTATAATAGCTTGAAATAAAGGTCAGTTCTATGATATGAGATAAAAGCCATTTTGAATAATTTAATAACGTAAATTCATTATCATTATAAATATATATACTAGCTATATTTATATTATATATAGTACAGTATACAAATATGTAACTTGATAATTTTGAATCCCTAAAACAACAACTAATATTTACTTTTATACTACTAAGTACGTTCTCATCACATACATCGATATACCATACATCCATATATCATATATCTATCCAGCTATACATATTTAATCAACGGCGTATAATTAGAGGGAGGAGAGAATGAGAGAAAACATTAACAACGTGTGATTTAATATACAGTAGATCTGGTTTGAAATTATACCTACCTACCTACTAATAATAATTAACGCGGCTTGGCCCGCGTGGAGTTGAGTAACGGTTGTTGGGCGCCAGTGTCCTCTGCGACTTCTATACTCGTCCCACACGCATTTCACCACGTACTCAGGTAGACGGACTCATACATAATAGGTATATATGAGATCTGATCTATTTCACTCCATTTTGATATTTAAGTTTATAAGCTAAAAATACTGTACTTTATTCAAGGTCCAATTTTATATACAAACTCTATATACTTAGTAAATTAAATATATAGAGTTTTCTAAATATTTGATAATTCCCAAATTTCCAATTTATCCTAGAATTTTTAATAACCAACAAAATAGCCTCGTGAGAACTTCTTGTCACTAAACAAGAATTTGAAAGCTTTGCGTTGTATTTATTGCTATTTCCCCTTATATGTCGTAGAAAGCTCAATTCGTAACGCGAAGGCGAACCATAGCCGACAACCGAGAGTGGAAGAGACAGGCGAGGTAAGATGACCATAAACCGGTCGCTTGGAAAGCCACGTGGATGTTATTCTAAATCGTACATGGCAAGGTACTCTATAACATCGCTAAAATTATAAAAATTTGAAGGCTTAACTTTTGCGTAGCACCTTCTAGGTATTTATAGTTCATTTCTCTATCTATAATCAAAATGAGCATAACATTCAGAAAATACATTTCAAGGATTATAGGATAAATAATAAATTTGTTATTTAATGAGCAAACACATTTGCTATTGAATACCTAACATCGTATTTCTAGGAAAGTTATTCCAAGCGGTACTATCCAATTAACACTTCTATGATCGATTCATTTGCTTATTGAATCTAATGTAAAATACAAATAAGATGCTCTAACCAGAGCTACTAGATAGCGTCTTGTAAATTACATTATCAAAACAAATGCTTTTTTAAATATAAAGACTACATATAAGACAAGTTTTGTGGTTTTGTTTGTTTTGTTGATAACATATTATTACAAAATTTATAATTTCTCTTTTCATTAAAAAGACATTTCTGTGTCTTATCAATGTTTTCATATCGTTTAAATATTCATTTAAGGATTAAAAGTTAAGAAATAAGACAATTGGAATTTGATGCCGGCGTGGGTTTATTACATTTCCCAAGAACCCCGTATCAATGTTACGATCTCTGGAGAGGTGGAACTGGTCCCCATTTGGGTGACGTTTAAATGCACGTGTGCTTCACACTTAGCCTCCATCGCCTCTCTTGAGACTCTACATTCAATCGATTTTCAACTTTAAATTCTTATCACTAGAATTTGTTTTGTTTATTTGATTCATGCTAACAGTCATTATAGATATCAACGAGTACGAGTGAAGAATGTTATATTTTGTAGCGAGCATGACTATTTTAGCACTTATCCATTCAGAGATAAATACTATAATAAAGAAAGCAAGTCGTTAAACGTCGTTTTACAACTGCGCCAGTATCATTGGTATGGTGAGCAGGCAGCGGCGACGATGTGTCTGTGGGACTTATTAGTTCATTTTACGATCGGCGGCCTCTTGTCTGTTGATCAATTCATATGTATATATATTGAAACATTTGAAAACGGACCAGTAATATTATAAAAATTGCCTGTCAGATATATAAGGGGTCAATATTCTAAAAATGTGTTCGAAAATTATTTTAATATATTATTTTACTAACGATGTTGTTATTTATTAACTTCTTCCACCTACCATATTCTTCACAGTCATAGTCATTGCACAGTATCATGTTGCTTTGTTTCTTTGAAATGCTAAACCTAGGTAAGTAGGTATTCTATAAGGATTGTTGATATGAATAGTGCTAGAAACGTTCCAAGGACACCTCGTCAGCTTGAGCATTGTGCGAGACTCATGATGCAAATATTTACAGGGAGCCATATATAGAACTTTCTTTATATAGTCATTGGTGCACATACTAGAACTGCATACTAATATTCTAAATTCTTTACAATCTAGTTTGTACAAATGTATATGTGATATATTGAAGAAAATTATCCGGTAATATTATGATTAAAGAATATTTTAGCATTTTAATAAATTTAAATACCAAATATGCTAATGCAGCTTACACTAAAATAATAGTTAAGTTATTGTTAGCATTTACTTACCCGTATTACTTCTTTTGAATAGATTCATGATATACTAGAAAAATCAAATAAATGATATTATTGTCGTATCTCTAGTTAATTACAGTCTATAATTACCTATATCTTTGTCTTCAACAAGTAGCAATAGCATGACATATTAAGTATTTATCTACTACGCATTATATGTGGGTTGTTAAGAGCCCGACCTTGTATTAATCCCAGGCACTATCATGCTAACTTCAGCAAAAACTATGGAATATTTCAAACACCATGATGTCATGGTGTATTCAATTACCGGTCTATGACCTTGTTTGTTACTTGTCGTTGTTCAATATATGATTGGTATTAATAACAATAGTTTGTATCTATTAAGTTTTTAGGATGGTGGTTTAATGATATTTTCTAATGAGAGGCGGTTCGAAATATTTAATTTTTATTAGAATTCAATGATGACAACTTCACTTAGCTAAGTATTTCTTACTTATTACAATAATAAACTATAAATATTTAATTCATGTTTATAAATACTTAATATTTATAAACAGAGATGTGCAAAATAGTTTACAAAATGTATAAATACAACATACAAATACTTTATATATTTTTTTATTTCAAAACAAAATACAAAATATTTTTTCATTTTGTATTTAAAATGCTAAATGCAAAACACGTATTTCCAAAATACTTTATTAAAATAAAATACTTTCGTAGTTTTACCTTTTTTTTTATTAGTAAGCTGGCAATTTAAGTAAGTGATTAAAATAAAGGAGGGGTGTCGAATGTCGATAAGCTAAGAAAAGTGATTCCAATATAAGGAACATTTTAACTTTTTTTATTTATTACTATCGACTTACTCTCGCTTCGCTCGGGTTTGTCCCTAGCTTGCTTGCCAAATCCCAATGCAAACTTTCATCCCCATTTTCACCTCACCCTTAAGGGATGATTTCCGGGATAAGAAGTATTCTTTGTCCTTCCCAGGGTCTTAAACTATCATCTTACCAAATTTAAACTTAAACAAAAGCACTAACTAAAACAATTTTTTTTGTGCATAAGTAATTTGTAATCAAAGATTATTGTCGCACGTTATTACTGCTAACATGATTTTAAGTGCATCGCTATTAGCCCAGTTGGGTTAGTATTGAACCTCAAAAAAATTCTAGACTACAATTTTATTTCACCAGCCTTTAGCTATTCGTGACTAAATTCGAGTGATGTCGCCATTTTGACTTAAGTGGGGAACCGTCTTACCTTAATATTTCTTTCATTTTCGACTTTTCGAGAAAAATCATTAAGACTAAAGTTGTTCATTATTCAATTCTCTACATTTTATTTGTTGCTTTTTTTTTCGTTTTAATTCATAAAAGCTGGTGAAATAAAATTTTGGCTTACATTTTTTTCTGGATTAGGATCTTTTTTTCGACAACCTGATTGGACTATATACGATACCGTGTTTATTTGAATGTTAATGAATTATATTTTCATTACTTATAAGACCCATCTTATTTAAAAACTATGATTTCTATTTTTTTTACACGGGTCATTTTTGCTAGCTTATTGATACTTTACTTAACAGATTTTAATAAAATAATTTGTTCGAAGACATATAGAGTCTCTTCGAATAAGCAAACTTATATTTCTTCTGTGGGGTCTCATAATCATGCCAAAATTTATCAAAAAATATTTTGCATTTTGCAAATACAAGATATGGCCTAAAAGGAATTTCAAATAAAATACAAAATGCTTTTCTAAAAAATGTATTTAAATTCAAAATGGGAATAGGAATTGTGTTTTTCGAATTTCCTATAAATAGTATTTTAAAAATGTCTCATCTCTGCTTATAAAATGCATTGTTGCATATTTTACTTACCTCAAAGTAGTAAGTAGTTAGTAAAAAAAACAAATTCCTTCAATTTTTTCAAGGTATTTTTTATCAATGTACCTAACTACAATGTACCCTATAAAACTATCAGAACCATTTTGTCGTTAGCGAAGCTACGAAGGTCAATATTAAATATTTATGAAATAATCATACTCATTCTTTAAATTATATATTCGAAAAGTCCTCAAAAGACTATTTATCTATAATGCTTTACGGCATTATATTTTATTATTGTTATAATTAATTAATTAATGTTAAATCTAACTAAATCAGTTTCTAAGTACTTTTTGTGAGCGAGTTAAAATGTAGAGTAGGATATTAAAATGTAGAGTTACATAGGATCAGAAATAATGTTCCATTTCCATTTTATTTCTGTTTTTTTTTCATTTTCTTAAGTTCCACAAAATTTTACTCAGCAAACATATACCAACTACAAATAGGAAGGAGAAAAATTGCTATTTTCTTATAATAATGACTTGCAGTATACTTAATATGAATATAGTATATTATGAATTTATGTAAAACATATAATAGAATATAAATTTGCAATACTCATTTATATAAAAATACAACAAACTATTTTAAAGTTTAAAAAAAAGTTTTCCCTCAAAAAAACATTTTCCTCGATTGTTATCATGTCATTTGCTAAGTACCAGTTTAGCACTTATAGGTATATTTGAATACGTTTAAACTTAATATTTTAAATGTTATAAACCCGCAAGGGGAGTTAGTTGGAAGTTTCATGGCCGCCGGACGCGAGGCAGGCAAGGCAGGCGGCCGTCGCTCACACAAAAAATAAACAACTTTCCTCGAAACGGCGATGGCGCTAAGGCATAGTCCCAATCTGAAACAGCTTAAGTGAACGGATGCGGTGTGCAATTTGAGCTCTTTTGTGCATATGAACGGCCGAGCCGAAATAACTTGTTGATGTTCGGCTCGGCGCTGCGGGCGTGCGCGGGTGTGCGCGGGTGGCGCGGGCGCGGGCGGGGGCTAGCGCCGCTGAGCGACGGCATGTCTACGGCGGCGAGTCGGCGACACCCTGTCTGCTGCGGACAGCGGTGCTGCCGCTCCGTGCGCATTCCTATCCGCCCGCGCCCCTTCCTCGCGTCCTCATGAACCGCCCGCGTGCACGTGTTGGCAACGTCGCATGCAAACTTGTTTCGTAAACGGATGTGGCAGCAACCGAGGCAGGGCGATGTGCCATCTCACTCACTCGCTTCACGTATTATGTGCGAAAAAGAGATAGCATTGGTGGCGCTACGTGCTATCGGCTCCCACTTGCGGCATTTTTTCACGCCGAGAATGAGGCGAGATTAATGCCTCAAGGCTTGTTCACACGAACAATTCTAACTTATTTTATAATAAAACAGGAAACTTTCGATACACAATTATTCTGAATATTGAACGAGTTTAATTTTAAATATATAATAATATAATTTAATATAACGTATAAATAGATACATATAATTTTAGTATATTATATCTTGATACTTGGAATCGATTGATGTAGAGATGAGAGGATTCATGTAGAGTGTGAATTTATTTATTTTGGTAGGTTTTTGGATTGTATTTGTATTTTCTATGATATTAGAATTTTTATTTTACAACGGAGAAAAAAATATATACTGTTCATCAATGTTCTTTAGAATTCATTAGAGCAAATATGTCAGGTCTTTTGGTTCTAACTATTACAATAAGCAAAATGAGTAAAACAGATGAATACTGTTTAAGATAATAGTTGACCAGTGTGAAAACGACTCTACGTATATACGCGGCTCGCGTCGCGCGCTCATGTCGGAGCGGTATGCGCTGCGGGCAGCGAGCGCGCCGCCAACATCCGCGACGTGCGAGCTAGTCACAGTCAGTTCGGCGCCGACAGCCATCACGCGCAGACGTTTTCACAAACATGGCCGCCGCCCACACGCACTCGGCCCCCGCGCCCTCGGACCGCCGTACTGAGGGTCGCGCTGGATCCCGCCGTATTTTCCCACCGCAGTTCAAGCTACAAGTTCTCGACGCATACAGACGCGATACTCAGTGTCGCGGGAATCAACGTGCAACTGCCAGAAAATTCGGTATCCACCGCCGCCAGATACAAAAATGGCTTCAAGCTGAACCGGCACTCCGAGCCGCACTTCTGAGGCGAGCTCCCCAGCCAGCTCCCTCGCCGCCACCCTACTCCGTCGGGTCCCCGGAGAGTGCGCGCCTTCCATCGCCTCCGCCTGCAACAACCGCCTTACCCACCGTCGTTCAAGTGCCTACACCCCTGGCAGCACCGGTACCGGTGATGCCACCGTCGACGGAACCCATAGACTTATCGGTTCGCCGTCTCTCCCCAGCGCCTACGCAAGTTTTGTCGTACGCGCCACCTACGGTCCCTGAGCAACCTCAACCACGCAAGCCCTTCAAACTGTTCAGGCCTTACCTGTTGGGAGAGGAAGAAGAGAAGCGGCCTGCGCTGGCGTCGCTGCCCGTGCTGAGTGGTGTGCACGTGTCCGCGTTCGTGCCCGTGCAGAGCGCGGCGGGTTGCGCGCTGGCCGCGTGCGCGCCGCGTTGGTGCACTCCTGCGCCTTCCTTCCCGGCCCCGCTCAGATGAGGAGCGGCCGCCGGGGCCTTACCCCTATCCTCCTGTGATCTAGTCGACGACGCCCGCCAGGCGCCGCCAGGGGCGTAGCCCTCCAACACCGTGCCTTAACGTACACGTCGCCATAGTGCATTATGCCGTCATTGTGAGATGACAGTCTATTTTTGTGTATAATTATTGTAAGAATAAGAATGTATTTTTATATGTGGGGTTTATAAAGCATACCTACATTTATTCAGATTATAATGATTATTATTATATTAATAAAGAGAGTTGTTTACTAAACTGTATTTTACTTCAACTCATGGCGCTACGCTGCTTTATTTGAGCACTGAGCAGGTAGTGTCGGCGTCTGTCTTTTCCTACCTGTTTGATCCCCATTATAAAATAAGGCTTTACAATATCAGTTCAAACTCTTATAACAAATAAAAAATACGTTTATAGGTAAATTGTTATGTATATTTTTTTATAATAAAGATTTATTTATACACTTTAAAAAGATTTTCTTTTAAATATATAGAAATCACGTTCCACCTGTTGTCCGTTGTTGGTTCTATAGTTATTATAATTATATATAGGTAGTTGACGTTTTAAAACTAAAGTAAAAAAGTTTATAAAATGTATAATAGAAATATGTATATAATAAAATAATAATCATCGTTTTTTAAAAGTTATTTGATTATTATACAATATCTACATTTTTTTATTCTCTATATTTTTATTAGTCTCTATATAAACAGGCATGATAATATTCTTAATATTACATGTTTCGTATTCCTAATATTATAGAATGTGTCCGATATACGAGATACATTATTTTAGAACTTCATAGTATTAGTAGTAGTAGTATTTATAATGACTGCACTTATTGAATGCAAGGAAAAAATGTTAGGTAGAGTATTGGTACTCTTAAGAATGTTTTATATTATTACCTTTTAAGAGACATGAACGGTTTGCATTTCCTTTTTTCTAAGGGTTATAAAAATATTCCTACGTAAAAAAATCTCCCTTGTTATTAATTTTCGTGAATTCAATTTGCAAGTATATTCTATTTTATCTAAAACTATCCTTATTAAAGTACCCTTATACCAGTTAATTTCTATAAACGATGTGGCCAAAATAAAAATATTTTACAACGACATTCTGAGGAGTGGCAAAACGCTTAGATATTTCATACATTCTTTGTAAGCGATTATAAAATCTTGTCTTTCCCCACTTTTTAAATAATCTTTAAGTAATTTAATATATAATGAGCATACTACGATTAATCCCTCGTATGCAAAATGTCTAGAATACAAACGGTTTAAATAAGGAATTATTTAAAATCTATCATCACGTTGACGTACAAAATGACGCATGCTTACAAATGGAAAACATTAATTTGCATGTGTAAGGGCGCTTGCATGGGAATTAAAATCTTGCAAATGTGGAATATATAATTTTCCTACATAACGTCATATATAAATAAAAAATTGCAACAAAACCACCTGTTCAGTGAATATTTTTAGAAACGATATCCAATTATTTTGGCATCAATTGACTTTGTCATTACATAAAAGAATGTCGTGCGTCAACAACGGAAATAACTTGAACTTAGTGCAGATACCTACATACTTTAATTGACAGAATAAATCGCCCGTGGTTAGACATTTTTCGTTAATATTGTTTAACAAATCAAAAGAGCTCATAGTTATGTTATAACTTTATAAGTTATCGAGGAGAACGCTACGACAAAGCAATGTATAAAATGGCAAAAAGTATTTGGATTATTATCGTAGAATTAAACATTGGACACAGCGGACACTGACATTCTAGTGTTGATAAAATATAAATACTAAATGTCTAAATCAGCGATTTCTTTAACAAAAATAAAATTTTCATTATTGTGAAATGATCTGTATTTTATTTGTACTATGCCACTTGTACGTATAATATGACTTCGTAAGTGTGCAATCGATAACAATTATTATTAATTGTTTTGTATATTGTGATTGTGTATGCCAATCTAGCTCAATTGTACAATTGTGTCCTCGCGGCATCTCCGCTGACTTTACATTCAGGTTTGATTGTTAGATAGGCAGTGATAAAGTTGCTATTTTTATATTTCAGATAAAAAAATGATGTCAATAACTAATTTGGTACTGAAAATCAAGCACAAAATTTAAGGAAAAGGAATTTAAGGAGTTATAGCAACACAGATGAACACTCATTGCGACACGAATCCCGAACATAGAGTCAATCAAATTGTATCGCTATGTTTTTGAAAACTACATATAATTAAGCATTCCTATATTATATTATATATAGTGTAACAGATTTAGAAAACAACAAAAGTAGTAGTTAAACACTAAATTTTGAAATTCTATAGTAAAATGACATACAATTCTACATAATTTCAAATCCATACATTTATTAACATGATAAGAAATTGAATACCATATTACTTATACAGAACATTACATTACTTAATGGGAATTGTCATGTGGAGTAGGACAATGAAGCCTCGTAGCTTGCTCGTGCAGTGGCACGGGACGGTTATGTTAGCGTATATGCGACGTACTCGAGCGGCGACGCGCAGTCTGGCGCGGCGGTAAAGCGACTTAAAGTCTGCTTGGTAAACAGTTTAACAAATAAATGCATTGTATTGAAATTAGATATGAGAGTATTATATGGCTAATAATATTAAGTATTATTACTGTTTTCTGTATTGTTTGAATCTATGTATAATATGTTAATCTGTTTAAGATTTGCTTTTCTGAAACTGTTTTATTTTCCTCATTGTGTAGAGATATATTTTGTGGTTAAGTTATTATGACATTTATTGTTTTTTTTTTATTATTTATTTATAATGTAAGTAGTAAAGATATGATAAATATTACTTTTTGAAAGAAAAAAAAACATTTTTTTTAATAATCAGTACCAAAATGACCCCTTTTTAACACAAGGTGGACTAACAGAACTTTCTCTTCTAAATGCATAATCTACGGACTACCTGCACCGGTTTTAAATCAGTCGCAACATCACGATGAATTTCATTTGGTTTCTTTTCCGTTTATTGGCTTACATTAGTAAAACTCATGATGAAGTTAAGATTTTTTATTTTTTTTAAATGACTAGTGTCTAATGTAGTCGCTTTGCTCAGGTTCGTCTCTAGGTACGTTTTGACGCTTAGTATGGAATAGATTTTTTTTTCATTTTTTTTCCTGAATTTTTTCGATGTTTTAATAGCTATTTTGCTATTCGGGGTGAAGACAAATTCAACAAAACAAAGATCATAAAAATCGATCTAGCAGTTCTCGAGTTGTAACACACCTACTTTGTTTTACATACACCTATTTAATTGAGTAGCCTTTATTAAAATGTTCACTAATATAAACGGTTAGAATTCTTTATTTATGAGTTAATTATTATTAAAAGACAATTATATAATAGCAAATTACCCTTTGTGGTAAAATCAAGTTATACATAAGTAATATTTATACAACGAAATTAATAAGTTATGCCACCAAAAACATCGACTTCAACGTTACTACAAGGACTCTTGTATAACAGAAAAGTAAAAAACAGTGAATAAATGTTTCTACTTATGGCCATATGACGGTAGCGAAACGGCCAAGCCACATATTTTGACTAAGGTGTAGAGTTTGTAAAGTTAGAGCTTTTAGAGTTAGGGCTTGTAGAGCTAGAAGCTTGGCTCTACTGTCCACATGAGATCTGATATTTTTTGACAGTGCGAGCCATATGGTCTCGTCTTGGCAATATTTTACGCGAAAATGTTTTTGGTGGGATTTCACTTCTTTTTGTAATTTAATTTATGTCTACTTTAAAGAAATAGTTTTAAGTGATTAAAATTTATAAGTCAATATTTTTTATATTGAAATTATAAAAATATAAACTATAATATAATACATGAACATCTTAGTACCTATTTATTGCAATCTATACACCTTATGTGACATTATGAATTGACAGCAGGGATCAAAATAATCACTAATCGATCTAAGTAGCCATTAAAATATGTACATATAATAATTCTAGTAATACCCAAACTCACATAAGACAACAGAATCGTCTTAACCTACGACAATATTTGCACTTGCAGATGCAATGTGCCATATTTACGGCGTACAGCCGGAGGACGTGATGGCTCATAAAACCCAGGCATAGGCATAACACTGGCGATGATGTCAAAAGTATTCTTGGCACGAACAACGAGCGACAGTCCTGCGTTATGGGTCATTAAGGGTATATAGCTTGTCACTTCTCTCAAATGGCTAGGTATAAAAAAAATGAAGAGCATAATATTTTGTTAGTTAAAAACGATAGAGTACCTAATTATTATGAATAACTAGCGAATTACCCTTGCTTCGCTCAGGTGCGTCCCTAGGTGCGTTTTAATTTTTTTGAGCGGTACCCTTGGTTTTTTTCTAAAATAAAAGTACTACCTTCCCCCCTAGTTACTCCTTATAACATCAGCTATTTGCCAGTAAAAAAGTCCCGTCGAAATCAGTCGAGTCGTTTCGGAGATTAGCCGGAACAAACAGAGAGACAGATTTTAGAAATTGTGTTTTTCTTATAAGTACCGTATATAATTTCATATGCATTTAGTAAAAAGCTATTATTTAGACATTACAAACAGACACTAGTCTACATAAATTAAATTAATTTTTTATTTTATCTTTTGCGTTTTCCTATGATTTCACAAAGGTAGGCATTGTTGCTAAATAAACATTGTCCATACTCATATTTCACTTAGTAGACTATTCGTACAGATACTTAAGTAGATACTATTCTACCTTTTAGTTATCGTATAGTTTGTTTCACATTATTGTAAATTTTTATTACTGATAAGCATACGTAAGAAATTTGATATAAAATTGATAAGGTGCTATATGTAAGAAAGTACTCACAATAATGACAAAGATTTTATCATTGTGTTTTTTTTCGTCATATAAGTTTATCAATGATTTTACAAAAATTTAAGCCAAGTCAGTTTAAAAGCTAGTCCA